AACATAAATCGGCGGATGTCGTCGTCGTCGACGTCATCATTGTCGTTTTCGTTGTCAGTGTTCTCGTCGCCGTCGTCGTCGCCGTCATCGTTGTCGCCCTCGTCGCCCTCGTCGTCGTCGTCGTCAGCGTCAGCGTCTGCGTCAGCGTCAGTGTCAGCGTCAGCGTCAGCCGTTGTTCCCATGGGCTTTGCTGCAGTTCTGAGTATCAAATGTTCACATGGGGTAAGCCCCAGTGACGTTTCTTCTCTCGGATTGCGTCCTTCTCCTTGTCTCCTTCCTCCCCGCCTCTACCCTATCGCCTCCCTCTCCCCATCTTGCCTCCCCCTTTGCCGCCTCCTCCTGCGAACAGCGCTTCAACTCAAGCTTGAAAGACTGGAGGCGTCAATGCGGCTCTTATCCCACTTGACCAAAAAGCTGACTACACATGGCGTGCCCGGCCTCGGCGAGGGCTGGATACATACGTGGCCGGATGTCATCCTATCGCTCGCTCCTCCCATGGTCGTGTAGGCCAGGCCTCCGCACGCGTATCCGGCAGGTGGCCTCCAGATGGTCCACGTGTGAATCCAGCAGTGTGTCTTTCCGGCTTCCCGGCATCTCACCTTCAAGTACAGGTGGGGGCCATGACAAGAAACATCCTGCGTTTCGTCGGTCGGGGTTTCCTGGGTTTCTTGAGTTGGCGTTCGGCGCGGAAGGCCGCCGCAATCTCGAAGAAACTTGAAATGCAAGGGCACCCTGGGTTTCGTCGCCCCCCCTGTCCTGAGTCAAATGGGCACAGATTTTTTTTTTTCCCAGAAGAAAGTCGTCGCCTCTCTATTTGTGCAAGGCCCGAGGCTCGCATTTTCGATCGCCTTGGGTTTCTTGATGTCAGATTGTTTGGCGCCAGCAGTCAAGAAACCGCTCGGGCCAGGGTGCCCTGGGTTTCTTCGTGTGCAGCCGAAGTGCAAGAAGCCCAACCCTGGACCAAACAATCTCGGCGGACTTCAGGGTTGGGCTTTTTGCGGAGGGGGCCGCGGGACGGCCAGTGCACGGCATGTGTTCCCTCTTCCTCCTCCTCCTGCTCTTCCATTCCTTCTCCTTATAAATAATATCCCCCTGTCGCACCTCGAGGCCAGTTTTTGGAGCGGGCCGGGCGTTTCGCTTGACATTTCCTCACCATTTATCGACTACACGTAAGAGTGACCCTTCGCCGGAGTGACCTTTGGTGCGGGCCCATTGGGGTCCCCGATCGCCGAACGCGAGGCGGCAGTGGCGTCTTGCGCGCTTGTGTTTGGCCCCCCCCGCGGCCCCCAAAAAACCGCGCACCTAAGGTCACTCTTACCCAGGATCACTCTTACGTGTAGCCGAATTTATGATTCTGAAGCATAAGCGGTGACAACAGTTTCATTGATGAAGGGCAGCTGGTTTTCAAACTTGAGAGCTTCACGGATTGAGGGCGGGCTGTTTTCAACATGTGGTTCTCGCTTTCGCGCCGTGCACATTCGTTTTAAATATTCGCAAGAGCTTCAGGGACTGAGGACGCGTCGTTTTCAAAATGTGGTTCTCGCTTCAGCGCCGCGCACATTCGTGTTCAACAGTTGCAAGAGTTTCACGGATTGAGGGCGGTTCGTTTTCAACATGTGGCCCTCGCCGTAGCGCCGAGCACATTCGCTATACAATTGTGCGACAGTTTCACGGGTTTAGGGCGGGTCGTTTTCAAATTGTGGTTCTCGCTTCAGTGTCGCGCACATCCGTTATAACATTTGCAAGGGCTTCACGGATTGAGGGCAGGCCGTTTTCAAAATGTGGTTCTCGTCCTAGCGCCGCGCACATGTTTTCAAACAGTTGCCATCGTTCCACGAATTCCCATGCTCAACGTACCAGATGTGGCGTTTGGGAAGGTTGCAGGGTTATGCGGGTGCAGCAATGATCTGGATTCGCTGTGTTAAAGTCTCAAAAATGGCATGCTGGCACGATTCTGGATCGCCAAGACGCAGCAGTCAGGTTGATCCGTGGCGTTGACATCCCGAGAACAATGTTTTGGCATGCTTCAGGGTACGCAAACGGTTGTCTTCCAACGAGGCAGTTCCCTCAATGGAAATGAACCGTTGTAGGGGCCTATGAAGTGGGAGCTTGGAGGGAGGTTGAATTCCAACATCGTTATTGACTCGTGGGTTTACACTGGTCCTCCTCCTCATCCTCCTCGTCCTCTTCTTCCCCGTCCTCCTCCTCCTTGACCTTTTTCTCCAGTTGACATCCCCCTCCTCCTCCGGCTCCTCCTCCTCCTGTTCCTACTCCTCCTCTTCCTCCTCTTTCTTCTCCTCCTCCTCCTCCTCATTCTCCTCCTCGTCGTCCTCCTCCTCCTCTTCCTCCTTTTCCTCCTCCTCCTCCTGCCCCTCCACCTCCTCCTCCTGCTACGCCTCCTCCTCCTGCTGCTCCTCATCGTCCTCCTCCTCCTCCTCGTCCTCCCCATTCTTCTCCAATCCCCTCTGCTCCTCCTCCTGCTCCTCATCCTCCTGCCCCTCCTCCTCCTCCTCCTCCTCCTCCTCCTCCTCCGCCTCCTCCTCCTCCTCCTCCTCCTCCTCCTCCGCCTCCTCCTCCTGCCTCCTCCTCCTCCTCCTCCTCCTCCTCCTCCTCCCCTCCCTCCGCCTCCTCCTCCCCCTCCTCCCCCTCCCCCTCCCCCTCCTCATGCCCTTGCCACCGTTCGCCGTTGTTGCCCCGCGCCCATCCGCCTTGTCGTCCTCTCCCCGCCTGCCCCTGCGCCCGCCTGCCCCTCCCGTCCCCCCCACCTGTCCCCATAGGGCACTCCACGGCTTGACTGTTCCACTCGAGGACACACATTCCACCTCCTCCTCCTCCTCCTCCTCCTCCTCCTCCACCTCCTCCTCCTCCTCCTCCTCCTCCTCCTCCTCCTCTTCCTCCTCCTCCTCCTCCTCGTCCTCCCCCCGCTCCTCCTCCTCCCTCATGTTTTTCCTCGTATGTTTTGGATGTTCGTCTTCCCTTCCTGGACAAGTGCGTTCCACCACTCGCAAATGGCCTAGATCCGCCGTGGGGGACTCACTATATACACATATTATAGATATATATTGCATAAAAGAAGACCTGTTTTCTGACATGTTTTTTTTCTGGCGTTTGCGAGTGGCACTTTGCGAGCAGTGGACCGCGCTCGGCGACTTTCACTTCTTACATTTTCCCAGGGTTTCCTTGGAATCGACGTTTCTTGGCGTCTGTGACTGTCTTTACCACCTGATGTTTTCAGCGCGGGGTCCCCTGAAGCCGCGACCCTTTCCCCGGGGCCTTTTTCTCATCCCGAGCCCATTATTTGAGGTCCCGGGGCCCGGGGCCCTGCGAGGACCCCCAGTGTTCGAAAATGGTAGGTATTTCCAGCAATTTGTTCATGTGCGATGCTCGCGATATTCATTGCGTTATTCTTCGCGCTGCTCGTCCGCATCATCCGTGCGTTACGGCGTGACGTTTTTGGAGTTCTGGTATGTCATGTCGGCACGCCCCGTAGTGGCAATGGCCACCAATATGCCGAAACATACCATCATTGCAGTGGCAAGTCTTTAAAGGAAAGCAAAAACGATATGTTGTGGTTCGTCGGTCAACATACATCCTGCTGTGACTCTTGCACAAGTCTGGGTCTCTGTTCTGCTCTGTTCTGATGACATGATGACCCCGTGAACGCAGATCACAACAGGCCCAGGCATGATACCTTAAAAACTTCAGAAACGAGTCGTGACCGAAACGCTCCGTGCAGTATACGTGCAGCAAGAGCAGAAGCAGGAGAGAGGAAACACATACGGTGAGGCGGGGAGAGAGAGAGACAGAGAGAGAGAAAGAGAGAGAGAGAGAGCCTCACGAAGCGGGAGGAGGAAGTCTGCGGCTCTCTCCTCGCCCCTCTCCCTGTCCACGGCGCCAGAGGACGCCGACAGGCTCGCCTGCCACTCTGATGCGGCTCGCCCACTGCATGCCTCACCGAGGAGCCCTCCGGCACTGCATCGCCACGGCCGCGGCGCCGTGGCGCCCACTGCCGCCCGTGCTGCTTGGTGTGAGGGCGTCGAGCCCCGGACCTGCCCGTCGTGCTCCTGGCAGGAACACAGAGAGGGACATAAACATAATTAACAGCTCGGAGGCCTGCGCGGCTTCCTCGGATCGGAGCTGGGGCACCCTGGTCGCACCTCCGGCGCTGAAGCCATCCTGAAGCCATACTCGGGCTGGGAAAGAACAATGACATAAACACAAAAACTCGAAGGTCCGCGCGGATTTCTCGCATCGGCGCTGGACCCCCCTGGCGGCGCCTCTGGCGCTGTCCCTGAGCGCCGATCCAGGAATTCCGCGCGGACCTCCCAGTTTGTAGGATTACGTCGTTGGATGTTCCCCAAGTCTACGCGGCGAGAGCAAGGCTGGATCTTCCTCCTCGCTCGTGGGGGGAAGAATGAAGCAACACCGACACCACCAGGGGGCCACCTCCAGCGAGGAGGTCCACGATGCCTCCCCGAACTGGGGGCAAGTGGGCGTCTCGAGCTACAGGGGGGAGGACCACAACCACCAAGGTGACCACCCCTGGCTCCTCGCGCTGGCGGTCCCTGGCGTCAGGCGATTGCAAACATGGATTAAGGGGGCGTGGATTAGCGACTGGTCCCGTTTCCTTCGGACATCGCGGGCTTCCGCCGCCAAGCGAGGCGGCACCGGCCGCATTTTGGGGAGGGCACCTCCCCCGATCCATGGACTTGGCGACCGCGCGCCAGATCCATGGATCGCTAACCCATGCTTGCGCTTCGGTGCAGGAGCGGGCCAGAGGCGGAGGGCATTCTGGCTGTACTGCACGGCGCTTGTATTTCCGCCCTGCTCACACACAGCCCGGTGCCGGGCGTCCTTGACTTGGCTCCCTTTTTTCCTCGGCGATGTTCTGCGTCGGTCGGCCGTCGGCCGATGGGGCCTGTCCTCGGGCGAGGCCGCACACCCCCGATGGTGGTGTTGGTCTCCCTCTTCGCCCCTCTCCACGGCCCCCGCCCCGCTCAGGTCCGAGCGCCGGGCGTGGCACCACGGCTGCGGCGGCGGCTGGCGCGGCGGCTGGCACGCCGGCGGCTG